TACTAACTAGATAGTAGATAAGAATTATCTTAGGTGAAGGGAAGGACAGCACACACTATGGGGGAAGTCAGCGCAACTGGACTAAACCAAAGCTAAGAAGTTTCCTGAATACAATCAAATACTTTGAGAGACAGAGTAGCAGGGGTAGAGGTCTGGGGACCTTGCTTTCAGGGGACTTCTAGGTCAATTGGCATAAGAAAATGTTCTGCATCCTACTTTGGTGAGTGGCGTCTGGGGTCTTAAAAGCTTGTAGGCGGCCATCTAAGATGCATCATTTGGTCCCAACCACCTGGAGTAAAGGAGAATAAAGAACGCCAAAGTTACAAGGAAAGCATTAGCCCAAGAGACAGAAAGGGCCACATAAACCAGAGACTGCATCAGCCTGAGACCAGAAGAACTAGACGGTGTCCAGCTACCACCAGTGACCACCCTGACAGGGAACACAACAGAGAGTCCCTGATGGGGTGCAGAACTCCAATTCTAGTAAGACGACCAGACTTAATGGTCTGACTGAGACTGGAGGAACCCTGGAAAGCATGACCCCTGGATTCTCTATCAGACCAGAACTAAAACAATTTCTGAGGCCAACTCTTCAGACGGATCGGACTGGACTGTGGGTCATTAAGTGATACTCGTGAGGAGTGTGCCTCTTAGCTTAAGTAGATATGAGAGACTAAACAGGCAGCTTCTGTCCGGAGGTGAGATGGGAGGGCAGAAAGGGTTAGGAGTTGGTTGAATGGACATGGGGAATCGGGTGGAAAGGAGGAGTGTGCTGTCACAGTATGGGGAGAGCAATTAGGGTCACATAACAATGTATATATAAATTTATGGGAAAAGAAAGAAAAAAAAGAATACATGAAAAGTAAGCATTTTTCTCTCAAATGACTTTGGGACAAACAAGAATGCTTTCAAACCCCAGAATCTATCTATCTAAAATATATGATTACAATATATAATAATGATGTTTCCAATTCAAGCTGAAAAGAACAGATTTTTTGGCCACCAATGTCACAAAACAGTATGTGTATTAATTGTTTAATGAGAAGCTAGTTTGCTCTGTAAACCTTTATCTAAAGTACAATTTTAAAAAAACGTGAGATTTTTCTACCTGGAAATCTCATTTGCTTTGATAGATTTGCGTTGTATGCACAAATATGCTCTCCTCTGGGATGGCTCAGTTGCCCAGGGAGGCTGCTGAGACCCCAGCATGCTGTTCCCCGCCCCCTGTTGTGTTCTTCCCTCCTCTCGGCTTCCTCCTGGTGAAGCCCTTGGAGCTCCATGGCCCTTCAGAAGCTCCTGGCTGCCTGGAACATGGTCAGAATGTGTGGGGAACCAACTGTGAGACTAAGCTTTTATTTTACTTACTTTGTGTTTTTAGCATTACCTCATAACTATTTTACTGAAGAATGCCACAGTGGAGCCAGATGAATGTGCAAGGTAAATGTTGAATAGAAGGTAAACTATTTTAGAATTTTAGGATGCACATTGATGTGTAAACAGTTACAGTTAAAATACACTTATGCTTCCCTGTTACTCTTACACACACTATAAAGTATAATATGAATTATGTCAGAAAAAAATGCTTTACTTGATTATTTAAAATGGCATCATTATTGAGTAAAGATAGTAAGGTACACAAGATTATATATAGTGTGTTATCTTTTGTGTAAAAAGAGGAAGATTACAAATATATATGTATGTATTCCCTGATATTTTCAGTAAGAAAGAAAATGGAAGAAGATAAACCAAAAACTAATAAAAACATGTACCTAGAGGATAGTGGTTCTTAACCAAAGGTGATTTTGTCCCCCAGCAGACATTATCTAGATAATATCTAGAGATATTTTGGTTGCTTCTGGCACGCACCTGAGGTTGCTAGCGGTCTGCAACCAAGATATGAGGTTTTTCTGGACCACCTACATGATGAAAAGGCCCTTCCTTTCCTCCCAAGGTGAAGCCTAAAGTTGGGAGTACAGGTGGAGGGGAACACCAGTCTGACCCTCAGCCCCTAACCCTGCAAGGTCACCAGAAGCCCGGCTCTGCCTTTGGCTGCCTCCTGGGAACTGACTTGCACCTGCTTTGTCTCCAGGCTCGTCCCAAGATAGCAGCCCATCTTTCTTCACAGTCTTGTTAGCTCATTGATGACTTTAAAGTTTTTAGGGTTTTTTGTTTGTTTAACTCTTCAGTTATCTTCAGTGAATGGCTTAGAATGAGTTACCTAGTCTGCCATTACCAGAAGCTATAAGTTCATTATCCATTTTCTAATATTAAACTAACCTTGCATTTTGGAATAAACCCAACTTGGTTTATACAGTGCTGGAACTGGTTTGGCTAGTATTTTGTTTGGGAAAGTTGAGTTGGTTTCATAACCTGCAATTTCTCTTTTCCATCCTGTCTTCATAAGACTTGGTCACAAAACTGTATGGGCTCACAGAATGAACTGAGTACTGTTTCATTCTCTTCAGTTAGAAAAAGTTTTTATAAAGTTAGTGTTTCTTGTATATTTAGTAAACCTTGATGGTAAAACAATATGGGCCTGGTATTTCCTTTGTGAGAAGGTTAACCCCTGACTTACTGTCTTCATTGATTTTAGGAATATTAAGATTTTCTTTCTGTCCTTTTTGTTTGTTTGTTTTGATAGTTTTGGTAAACAAAAATTTTCCAGTGATTTGTCCGTTTCATCCAAGTTTTTAAATATACTAGCATACATGTTTTCTATATTATCTCCTTATTAACTTTTATCTCTGTCAGTTCTGTAGTTTTATCTACTTTTTAATCTGACTTTTTTTGTGTATTCTCTGATTTTTCTTATTAGTTTCGCTAAAGATTTGTCAGTTTTATGTGTGTTTTCAAAGAGTAGATTTATCTTTGTTCAACTTCTCTATTCAATATTTATTTTATTTCCTACCTTCTGTTCTTTACTATTTTCTTTCTTTATGTTTAGCCTGTTGTTTCTTTTCTTACTTTTTAACTTATATACTTAATGTATTAATTCTCAGCCTTTCTTCTTTACAAATATGAACATTTACAACTATATGTTTGATTTCTAGGTGCTACTTATCTTAATTCCACAAGTTTCGATATGTAATATTTTTATGAATTCATTCTAAATTTTTCTACTTTCCATTTTGATTCCTTCATGGAGTCATGAGATATATACACAAAGAAAAAGAAGGTCTGTAAAAGGAAGAGAGACTGTGAAATGGTGAAAATATGATTTTGCATATGGTTCCAAATTGTATTGATTTTAATAGGTTGAATACTCATAGTCTGAATTAAGTTAGGGAAGAATAGAGAAGCTTTCTGAAAGAACACAGAGTACATGGAATGATTGCAAACTAAGAATGTAAAGAGCAATTTCCAGATTGAGAATAAAAGTAGGGATTTGGCAAAGAGGAGCAAGGGATTTAGATAATTCTATACAGTAAAGAAAGCCAGGGGTTAGATCATGTAGAACTCCTGTGTGAAGCTGGTGCTGGAGGATAAAAAAGAAAAGCCAGCGCACCTTGTAACTGAGTTGTACAGCTTTGACTGAGTAAGTTCTGATAGAAGGTGACATGGTCCCCACGAGGGTTTTTAGTCCATGTCAGTAAACTTGTGAAGCAGTTCATTCATCCTGATTGAAGAGATGAGAATCCAGTGAAATGTGGTAAAATCTCAAAGCGTATTGATTTTTTTTTAATTATTTATTTTAATTTTGGTGAAAATATACACAGCAAAACATACTCAAAATGCATGGCTTTTAATTGCTGAATGATAGTAACTACAAAAGAACTTTCAGTATGGAGTTCTGAGCAGTATGTATGGTTTGATTGGCATTGAATTTGTCTTATTACAAAAAGCAACACGAGGATTACATCTAAGATCACATCTAATGCATATTTCTAAGTAGTTGTTGAATCCCCTGTTTGTTCTGTAAAAGAACCCTGGTGGCTTGGTTGTTAAGTGCTTGGCCCTCTGCCGGAGAAAGATGTGGCAGTCTGCTTCCATAAAGGTTTACAGCCTTGGAAACCCTGTGGGTAGTTCTACTCTGTCCCATAGGGTTGCCATGAGTCAGAATCAACTTGATGGCAATGGGTTTTTGGGTTTTGTACTGAAAGTAAACAGGTTTGGGAGCAAGTATTTTAACTTTATCTATGGCATTAAAAGAAAGTTGACAGGCAGATGATTTTTACATCATTATGAAAGCCATGGAGTATATCAATTCCAGAGAGTACTACCACTTACAATTGATTTATAATTGAGAAAGGTAATTTTTAAAGGACTGTGCTAATTGAAGGCTATCATTATTTAAAAGATATAACTGAAATTTATTTTGAAAATTGTATTCAAATATACTTTAAAATAAAATATAGGGTTTGTCTTATGTTTGTGGTAGGTGATGTGCATCTTATTATAAGGAAAACAATTACAAACTCAATTAAAAACTTCAACAATTTTCTAAGACTCATGTTTTTGACTCTTCCTCAAAAATGTCTTAGAAAAATAAAATGTAATAAAATATTGGTTTTAACAAAAATAAGTGATATGACAATTAACAGAAAATATGCCATTTGATTCATTAAATAGTTAAGTACTAACCAGTATCAAGATTTCTGTTTGTCCTAAAAACTGACCTATTAAGGGTACCTTATCTTGTCTCTCAATAAGACGTTCTATGAATGCACATAACTATAAGTTTTGCTATTTTGTATGAAAACATTCAAAATATTTTCTCATTAAAAATATCTTAAGTTTCATGATAGTTTTCCTGCTTTTTCCTCTTTTTAAAAAGATGCCTTGCCATTTGCTCTCTTGGGGTCTGGATTTGTGAAGAGCTTGCACAGCGGACAAGCCATCCGCAGGTGAAAGAGGCCATCAACGTGATAGGCGTTACCCTGAAGGTATTGCCGATTCGTGGTGCTTATTTGACTCTAAGCTATACCCCAGGTATTGAAACCAGTTGTAGTATGGATTAGTCCCATCTTTGTTTTCTCCTTCATCACAGAACGGTTGTGATTCAAAGCTCTTTTTCTGAAAGCTATGTTGAATGTGCTGTGAGATTCCCAGGAGAGGCACAGCAGGCTGCTTCCCTACCAAGAGCCTGGGCGTTTCTGGACCAAGCCCTGGTACCGAATGTGGTTCCTCTGGTATCTGACCGCCTCCTGGAGCAAGAAGGACACTTGTTACCTGTTCAGGGGAGTGTCAAGAAGCGGGGCTTTCATGCCCTGACATCTACAGCAGGACCAGAGCGAGGCCTCGACGGCTTCCAGCCAGGGTCCTTAGTGCTCACCACCTCAGGACCCACCCTTGGGCACTTTTAGGACATCCTCCTTCCTTTGTTAGTTAGTGAGAAGAGCTGCCAGGTACTGGGCACGTACTTTGGGCCGGATTAATGGTAAACTCTCTAAATACTTGTGTCGGTCTTCACCATAGCTCTGTAAGGTAGGTGTTACAATCCCCATTTTACACCCAAAGAAACAGGCCCAGAGAAATTGGGTCACTTGCCCACTACCACACTGAAAGTAGATCTGTGTGCCGTTATAGCCACACCTGAGCTTTTCCACGGGTTGGTAGGCTGCTTCCAAAACCATAGCTCAGAGCCTGGCAGCCCTTTTCTGGCTCCTGCTTAGATACAGTGGCAATGATTAGTGTCTTAGTTACCTAGTGCTGCTGTAACAGAAATACCACAGGTGGATGGCTTTAACAAACAAATTATTTTCTCACAGTTTAGGAAGCTAGAGTTCCGAATTCAGGGCGTGGGCTCTAGGGGAAGGCTTTCTCTCTGTGTCAGCTCTGGGGGGAAGGTCCTTGTCTCTTCAGCTTGTTTCCTGGTTCCTTGGAGATCTCCACGTGGCTTGGCATCAATCTTCCCTCATCTCCCTTGTTTAATCTCTTTTATATCTCAAAAGATACTGACTCAAGATACACCCTACGCTAATTCTGACTCATTAACATAACAAAGACAACCCATTCCCAAATGGGATTATAACCATAGGCATAGGGGTTAGGATTTACAACGTATATTTTTGGGGGACATAATTCAATCCATAACATTTAGCATTGCTGTCATTTCCACCTCCAGAACTAGCGAGGGCCTCCTCTCTGCCAGGCACTGTCCTTGTGCATTTGTGGAAGTCCATGGTTGTGAGATAAGAGTTGTCATTGTACCAATGGAGGTGCAGGAGGGTGACGGAACTTCTCAAGGCTCCAGAGCAAAAACCTGGCCGATCCGAATTTCCAGCCCTGAGCAATCCCTGACACCAGCATCTGGGCTGTGGCTCCCCTTCTCTGCTGCCTGTCACGTGCTGCTGTAGTAGGGACAGCAAGTACAGCTGATGCCTGTGACCACCATCACAAGCCAGCAACAGCCCCTGTGCCACACTTTGTGCAAAAGGCTGCCTTACGTTGTCTGTTTCAGCTGGTGGCATAACTAGCCAGTGGTGTCCCGCGCCCTGGTTTGGCCGCTGCCTGCGTTTGCAGCTCGATTTCACAACAGCCCTCCTCACCCACCTTCCTTCTGAGCAAACCCGATGCCTCTTGTACCAAGTGTGCCCTACTACCCCCACCCCCTACCTCTGCCTTCCTTGGCCTTGATTCTTCTACCTGGAAGGCTTCACCTCGTCCCCCATAATACCTGGAGTGGTGTTGGAGGGAGCTGGAAAAACCTTTGCTGCTGATCCCTGTGATGAAAATTATTAAACCAAGATATCATTTGAGTTATCTGGCCTGAGCACAGTGCTGACACTTGACCTTTATCATCGTGTTTAATCCTTAGAACCACGTGACTGATGAGGAAATGAGCTACAGGAACCTAAGTAACTCACCCAGGGTCCAACTCCAGACACTGTGGCCCCGAGTGTGGGGCTTTGCACAACTGAGGTGTACAAGACACCCGCTGACTCCCAAGGGCTTCCTGTTTATGGGCTCCACACAGCTCCCAGCATCAGTCTTCTTGTAAACATGCCCCTCAGAAACGTTCACAAGGAGGACTTGATGCTGTCTTGGACGTGGGAGGGGAAAGGCAAGCCATGGATGACTGTAGTTTTCCCAAGAGGTGTTGATGGAAAACAGCCACCAGCGCTCTACCTAGAGAATTTCACTCGGCTAGGTTTTTGTTTTTGTTAGTTTGTTTTTTGTGGGGTAGCATATGGGTGGCAGGTGTGTGTGGTGGGGAGGTTCTAAGCCAGAGCCATGCTTATAAGCTTTTGGTGTCCCTCCACGGAGACCATGGGCCATGTGCAGTAGGAGGCAAGCATAGGCTAAGGTGCAGGTGAGGTGTCCAGCCCTCCGCCTTTCACTGCCACCAGCTGGGATGCTGAGCTGCTCCCCCTCCTAGCCCACTTGCTACTCCTTCCCTTGCCCCATCTTAGGAGGCACTTTGACTCGTCTCTCTCTCCTTACCCATCTGTCTTTTCCCTCACAGAAGCCTGACAATATCTCCTCCTGAACACCTGTATTCTGTCCCAACTGCTGCCCCAGGTCCCCCTCATCACGACTCACTCTGCCCATTTTGGAGCTGTCTGCCAGCATTGGCCACTGCAGATCTGCCTCCACATTGCCCTCAGAGGTATCCCTTGCACACAGTTCTGACTGACTCCTGCTTCACCCTCACCCACAGACTGGTACACAGCAGTGTGTTAGGGGAAATTGGTGAACTGGCCTCTGCTTGCCCCATGAGATTGTCAGTTCCTTGAGGGTAGGGACCATACCTGTCCAGTTCATCTTTGCATCCCATGCTTTTCATTCAGTGCTGGCACATTGTCAGCGCTCCATAAATGTGTGCTGGATGAGTGAGTGAGAGCGTGCATGTGTGAGTCCATCTCACTGTCCCCACCTCACCTTCACCTGGCAACGATCCCGATCTGCTCACAGCTCTCCATGTCGTCCTTTCCTGCCTTGTGCTTCTCCCTAAGCTGCCATCACCTGAAATGGAACACCGCTCTCCTACTGAGTTCTTCAGGGCTCAGCTCAACTCAGCCCTCCCTCCACAATGCCTTCTCAAACTCTCTCCGTCTGTCTGTCTCTACCTCTCACACCCCAGCCTTCCTGCTCTTGCCCGGCCGAGTGCCTCGCTGCTGTCTGCCCACGGCCCCTGTGTTATCTCCCATCACTCTCGTCTCGTCACTTCCCTCTGCTGTTCTAGCTTCCTGAGTGAAGAGCCAGGCCAGCTTTGTCCGCCTGCCCCGTGACTTGGCCAGTGTCATGCAGCAGAAACACTTAGCAGCGATCACTCATGTTTCTTCCAGCCCCTTCAGGTTCCACCTTCTCCTCAGACACACCACACGTTTCTCTCAGGGACTGTGCTAGGCATTAGGGATTCTAGGGTAAACAAAATATGCGGGGAGGTAAGCACACAAAAGAACAAGCAGACAGATACCCAGGATCAGCTCCCATAGCCCTTCATACTATCAAGAAAATATGACAGAGAGCAAGATAAAGCTGAAGAGCCAGTGTCGGGGGGAATTCTTTGGATGGGTATGGTGTCCTCGTGGAGGAGATGGTCTGAAAGATGCAGCGGTGCTAGCCACGTTCAGCCTGAGGAATAAGTGCCCCAGGCAAATCTGGGGGCCGGTGCAAAGGCCCTGGGGTGGAAATAAGCCAGAGTGTTTGAGGGATGGAGAAAGGCCAGCGGGGATCAGGTCATCTGGGGTCTGGATAGCCAGAGTGAGACTGGAAGAGTCCCTTGTGTGCAGACATTCTCAACATGGGTTTGTTTACATGGTGCCTTTTAGGAGGGGCAGACAGTAACTATTTATTCTGTACAATGAAAGTTAATTACCCTTCCCTTCCCTTCCTCCTTATCCTATGTATTTGTCATGGCGGTGCTAAATGCCGCCTTTCTGTGGTGTTTGTGTGATGTAAATGTCAGTGGGGGTCCACGTCACATGGCTTGGAACTGCTGGTACGAAAATAACTGAACTGTGCGTCCAGAGATGTCCCTAGACCCAGGGACGTGGGTCAGTGACGAACACTTCTGCTCTAGATAATGAGGTGTGGATAGCAGTGTGGCCTAGGCTCTGGCCACAGAGGGAAGCACAGGGTGCCGTCGTCCCTTTCACGCATCCCAGCATGGAAAAGTGAGACAGCCAAGGGTCCCCACGGGTACTGCCCCTTTGTCGTGACATCTCAAAAGAGTAGAAGCATCCAAAGACGGTGGTGGTCACCTTAAAGTACATACTCAAGTAATTAAATACACTCTAACTTATGGATTATTTTTTCATAGTTTCTAATGTTACACATTTCTTAGTATTTTACATACATGCTTTAAGTTTCCTTTCACAGGCTAGAAAGTCACGTGATCAATCCCTGTTTCTCCATAGATAAAATGGAGATAACACCTACCTTGCAGAGCTGTTAATGAAGACTTCTCAATGAGAGACTGAGTAAAATTCTTGTAAAAGGTTCAGCCCGCAGTGGATACCCAACAATGCATCACATTTTAATTTCCTCTAATTTTCAAAAATATGATTTATGTGATCTGAATAAGGCATTTGAAATTATGGTTTTAACTTTCAAATGATTCAGTGACACCTACTTATTTCTATAGAATGTTATGTAAATTAATACAGCTGGGCTCGACAAGAGGCACTTAGAGAATGGTGGTGTGATCATGTATAAACTCCCCGGTAATAGGGCGTATTTTTCATCAGTTTAATGCAGAACAAACATGTAACCCTGTATGGATCTGGGAGGAAATTTGGGAAGAACTGTTTTGTTCTTCCTTAGGAATAATGTACATATTTAGTTATGTTCTTCCTTAGGAATAATGTACATATTTAGTTATGTTCTTCCTTAGGAATAATGTACATATTTAGTTATGTTCTTCCTTAGAAATAATGTACATATTTAGTTATGTGATTTGGTTTTGGGTTTTGTTTCCTTTAATAGTTTCCTAACAAAATCGTGGCCCAAGTAGCTTGTGATGTTCTTCAGCTGCTGGTTTCCTACTGGGAAAAGCTTCAGATGTTTGAAACCTCTCTGCCTCGGAAAATTGCAGAAGTAGGTCTTTCTTCTGTAACACTAAAACATAAGCATTTCCTTTTCATTATATCTGATATTTAATTATAGATACTCAAATGATTGTTAGAGAATCTGCTGTGAAATTGCGATATGAATCATTTGTTTTCAGATTACGTTGAACAGGTTCTTCTCAGTTGTGATTTCAGGCACTGCGAAAAGAAGCCCCCAGTATTCCAGGGCAGAGTCATACCCTTGGGGAGTTTGAAAGGCAGGTGCAACCTCAACAAAGAGACCTTTTGTAGATTGGGCTTCATTCATTGAGAGCAATTTGGTTGGTTCCAACAAGGAGTAGGCAGCTGGTTGTGATGGCCTCCTTGGGGGAGGGTGGGTTATCTAAAGCAGGAGTCTCTCCCCAGCTGAAGCCCTGGACCAGCTTTCTGCCATAAGCTTGATTACCCGGTCGTAATCGGATTACTCCTATAATAACTTCAGTAGGGGTGGTTGATAAGGGAGAGGGACAGAAGGAACAGGAAGAATCATCTCACCAGTAAGGCTCTGGAGGCTGGTTTCACTGGGGGGTGCTTTGCCCTCACCCAGCCACCCATTTCCTTTAGGCGCCGAATGGTAAGGTACATCCATCCCTGGAAGCCTTTATAGCTGCACTTTTTAAAACATGCCCTGTTGTTTGCACATCCACTGGTGAACTCTTCGAGGAAATGTGATTTGTCCCCATGTGGTTTTTCGGGGAGAGAGAAGAAGCAATATTGATTTATTTTCTCTCAGCCCTAGACAAATTTCACTGGTGAGATCACTTTGTTCTCTCAGGGACGTATGCTCTTGAGTGACCTAGAGTGAAATGGAGCTTTGGACATAGAAATATAAGATACTGCAAAATAGAAAGTTGGGTTTAGGGCAATTAGATAATTTATCATATAAATGGGAATGCCTTTGAGAATGAAAGGGGTGCTATTCCACCCAGACAACAGGTGGAGACGTGGGGTAACTTAGAGGAAAGTTAAATGGGGGCATTTTCAGTGTGAAGGGTGTGAGGACTGAGGTTGGAAATTGGGTGAATGCAGAGAGAAATAGTATTTCCTTCCACTGGGATCCCCACCAACAAGGTGGGGCAGAAATCAGGCATGGTCCCTGGTTCTCCTGATTTCAATCACACATATCCCTAAACTGGCTCTTTGCTTTGATCACCTTCTCATGAGGTTAACACCAAGAGGGTTTAGTTGTCAGGCCATCTTGGGACTCTTCACCTGTGACTTCCAAGACTATTATTATGGACTATTTGATTGGGGATTTATTTTTTATGCAGATCCTTGTGGCCACAATTGCTTTTCTTTTACCAAGTGCAGAATACTCCTCAGTGGAAACAGATAAGAAGGTAGGTGACATATTAGCTAAGATTTCCCTGTAGTTTGTTTTTTAAACGTGAAAGATAGAATGATGTATGCGTGACATAGTCAGGTTGCAAGACTGCAGTGTAAGGTACTGTGTCTTTCTTCCAGTTTATTGTTTCTCTGCTCCTCTGCCTGTTGGACTGGTGCATGGCATTACCAGTGGCAGCCCTTCTTCACCCAGTGTCAACGGCCCTCCTGGAGGAGCAGCACACGGCCAGAGCCCCCTTGTTGGATTACATCTACAGGGTGAGTGCCACCTAGCCTCAACGAAGAGACTGGGTACACAAGTTCCGGAGAGCTGTCCATATATGTTTTGTGCATTTATTGAAATACCCTTTTGGAAAGGATTTATGGTGGGTTAAATATTTTAAAAGAAATGTGTAATATAATAAGAAGTAAAAACAGAGGATACAATTGTAGAGTAGTGATGCATGCATTTTTACATGACTGTAAAATCAGTTATTGGTCAGGATCCTCCAGTTTTCATGGAACATGGCCTGTATCTACTTAATTTAAGAAAGAACTGTTTATATTGTAGGAACATTCGCAGCATTAGCTTTGACAAAATCTGTTTATCGAAGGAACAAAAAAGTATAATAGTCCCAGTGATCTCTTTGCTTTATGCAGTCTTAAGAAAGAAATTAAGGAAACATATCATATCCAAGTAATTAATAGCCTCCTCATTTTGATACTTAAAGTATTCTAATTTCACATCTCCCTCCCTATCCTTCTCCCCCCTCCCCCACTCCCATTACTAGGCATGGCATTTGCCCTGGGCCTTCTGTATTGGCGTTAGCAGTCTCTCTGTGAAAACCTTATCTGTCTATCTGTGTGTCTTGTCTACCTATCTATTTCACATTTCTGTGCAAGAATTACTGTTATACAAGGACAATTCCGTTGCTTATTCTTTTAGTCACATACCTTTGATTTTTAAAAAAAAGAGACTCCAAATTACTGATTACTTTGTTGCCTAATTAAAAATGTATTAAAATTACAAAAACACTTAGCCATGGGTGAAATATTACTAAAAAGTGTTATGTATTTTTAAATGGTTTCTTCAAAGGCCAAAGATATTTTAATAACTATGTCAAGATTAACTAGATACTTCTGTCATCCTTGTGGCTTATAAACCTGTATTAAACTTGGCTTGGGCAAACTAAATTAACCACAATCATTTAAATTCATCTCTACTAAATTGATTCTTATTTTAGAAGATTTCTCTTAAAGTTGCTTTACCAATTTAAAAATCACCTCATGGTTAACATGATTCATGAATTAATTGAAGACCTTGATGAATTTTCACAAAGTAAGCACACTCAGATCTGGAAACAGAACATTCCTAGCATCCCAAGAGTCCCCATCATGTCTCCTCCTAGTCACTGTCCCCGCACACATACCCAGGTGTACCACTTTGAACTTCATATAAATGGAATCATACTGTGTATACTCTTTTGTGTCTGGCATCTTACACTCAACATTATTTTTCAAAGGATTCATTCATACTGTTGTGAATAGTTACAGATTTTTCATTCTCATTGTTATATAGTATTCCACAGTGAGAATAAACCACAATTTACTTATCTATTCTACTGTTGATTGACATTTGGGTAGTTTAGAGTTGTAGACCATAAAAACAGACTTCAGTGAACATTCTAGTACATGTTTTTTGATACACATATGTATGCATTTCTGTTAGTATATTCCTGGGAGCGGAATTGCTGGAATACATATATTCTGTTTTAGTGTTGTTGTTAGGTGCCATCGAGTCGATTCTGACTCACCGTGACCCTGTCTACAGCGGAACAAAACACTGCCTATTCCTGCACCACCCTCACAATCATTATTATGTTTGAGCCGATTGTTGCAGCCACTGTGTCAATCCATCTCATTGAGGGTCTTCCTCTTTTTTGATGACCCTCTGCATTACCAAGCATGATGTCCTCCTCCAGGGACTGGTCGCTTCTGACAACATGTCCAAAGTATGTGAGACAAAGTCTCTCCATCCTTGCTTCTAAGGAACATTCTGGCTGTACTTCTTCCAAGACAGATTTGTTTGTTCTTCTGGCAGTCCAGAGTATATTCAATATTCTTTGTCAACATCATAATTGAAAGACATCAATTCTTCTTCAGTCTTCCTTATTCATTGTCTGACTTTCACAGCATATGAGGCAATTGAAATACCATGGCTTGGGTCAGGTACACCTTAGTCCTCAAAGTGACATCGTTGCTTTCTAACACTTTGAAGAGGTCTTCTGCCATGGATTTTTCCAATGCAATGTGTCGTTTGATTTCTTAGCTACTGTTTCCATGGGCATTGTGATGGTTAAGATTGTGTGTCAACTTGGCTGGGCCATAATTCTCAGTGTTTTGGCAGTTGTATGATTTTGTGGTCACTTCCCTGTTGAGATTTGATATGTGATCACCCCCATGATGGAATCTGCTGTGAGTAGCTATTCAGTTGAAGTTTTCTTGGGCATGTGGCCTGCATTGAGTGTGGGCAGACATTCTGGCAGGGCTTAGGGGCTTTTGCTCATTCTGGATCCTGCAGCTGGCTCCTGTTCATCTGAACTCTGGTTCTTGGGACTCGAGCTAGCAGCTTACCTGCAGTCTTGTTTGCCAATCTCGGGATGTGTCAATCTTCACAGCCTGTGAGCAAGAGCCCTGCTCTCCAACCTGCCGATCTTGGGTTCGCCAGCCCCTGCAGCTACGTGAATCAGGGGAAGCCTCTATCCTGACCCACAGACTTGGGACGTTCCAGCCTGTATGATCCAGTGAGCTATTTCCTTGATATAAATCTCTGTATATATATATTTATATGCATTACTGGTTTTTCTTCTCTAGAGAACCCAGCCTAAGATAGAAGTTGATTGTGGATACAAGTAAAATGAAGTCCTTTACAACTTCAGTTTTTTCTCCGTTTATCATGATGTTACTTATTGGTTCAGTTGTGAGGATTTTTGTTTTCTTTATGTTGAGGTGTAATCTGTACTGAAGGCTCTGGTCTTTGATCTCAACAGTAAGTGCTTCAAGTCCTCTTCGCTTTCAGCAATCACAGTTGTGTCATCTGCATATCGCAGATTGTTAATGAGTCTTCCGCCAATCCTGATGTCATGTTCTTCTTCATATAGTCCAGGTTCTTGGATTATTTGTTCAGCATACAGATTGAATAAGTATGGTGAAAGGATACAACCCCAAGGCACACCTTTCCCAACTTTAAACCACATAATAAGTATAAGAAATGAAAATTAAAACTGCAAAGACAGCACCAAGTGTTAGAAAGAATGTGGAGCAACTGCAGCTCTCAGACATTGTTAGTGACAGTGTAAAAATTAACACAACCACTCTGGTAAATTATTTAGCTCTCTCTGTTCGACTGTGTGGATCATAACAAATTATGGATAACATTGTGAAGAATGGGAATTCTAGAACACTTAATTGTGCTCATGAGGAACCTGTACATAGACCTAGAGGCAGTCGTTCAAACAAAACAAGGGGATACAGCGTGGATTAAAGTCAGGAAAGGTGTGCCTCAGGGTTGTATCCTTTCACCATACTTATTCAATCTGTATGCTGAGCAAATAATCCGAGAAACTGGACTATATGAAGAAGAACATGACATCAGGGTTGGTGGAAGACTCATTAACAACCTGCAATATGCAGATGTCACAACCTTGCTTGCTGAAAGCGAAGAGGACTTGAAGCACTTACTGATGAATATCAAAGACCACAGCCTTCAGTATGGATTACACCCCAACATAAAGAAAACAAAAATCCTCACAACTGAACCAATAAGCAATATGATAAAAGAAGAAAATATTGAAGTTGTCAAGGATTTCATTTTACTTGGATCCATAATCAACGCCCTTGGAAGCAACAGTCAAGAAATCAAACAACGTATTGCATTAGGCAGATCTGCTGCAAAAGACCTCTTTAAAGTGTTAAAAAACAAAGATGTCACTTTGAGGACTAAGGTGTGCCTGACCCAAGCCATGATATTTTCAATTGCTTTATATGCATGCAAAAGCTGGACAATGAATAAGGAAGACCGAAGAAGAACTGATACCTTTGGATTATGGTGTTGGCAAAGAATATTGAATACACCATGGACTTCCAAAAGAACGAACAAGTCTCGCTTGGAAGAAGTATAGCTAGAGTGCTCCTTGGAAGTGAGAATGGCAAGACTTTGACTCATGTACTTTGGACATGTTATCAGGAGGGACCAGTCGCTGGAGAAGGACATCATGCTTGGTAAAGTAGAGGGTCAGTGAAAAAGGGGAGGACCCTCAATGAGATTGATTGACACAGTGGCTGCAGAGGGTCAGCAAAAAAGAGGAAGACCCTCAATGAGATGGATTGACACAGTGGCTGTAACAGTGGGCTCAAACATAGCAAAAATTGTATGCACAGGACCGGGCAGTGTTTCCTTCTGTTGTACATAGGGTCGCTATGAGTCAGAACTAACATGACAGCTCCTAACAACAACAACATATATATTGTATTTTGACAAATAGAAATTAATCCTCTCAACAACAGAAACTCAATTTTTATGTTAGTAAGAGAGCTCCCATAAGGAGACTTTCCTGAACTGCCCCTTTTCTAGGGAGATGACATATCCAGGTGGCTGCACCCTACTGGCTGCAGTTCACGGTACTTTTTAGCCATGTACAAAGGATACCTTACCACAAGGCCTCCTGCCACATGGATAAGTCAGAGGTGGTCATCTAAAAGTGAATTTGCTTTATATAAATATATTTAACCCAAAGATGTAGCCTTGGTTTCTGAAGTACTACCTTTATTTTCATAAAAATCAGTTTTGTTTACTCTCTTGAATTTATGATCAGAAACTTAAAGTTCAGTACATCTATTACTTCATTTGCACGTTTTGGGATACTCCTGGTGATTTGTGTTTTAATGGCTTGTATATGCCCAAAAGCACAAACAAGAGTGTATAGAGCTTCAATCAACTGCAGGTTTTAAACAATCAGTGAGCTGTGGAGCAGTTCTACCCTTGTAACACATGGAGTCACCGTGAGTTGGAACTGACTCGATGGCAATGGGTGTTTGGTTTGATGAGCTTTCAAGACACGAATAATGTGAAAATAAGAATACTTAAAAATGTTGTATTAAATTTACTCTGTGTTAAATTATACTTTAAAAATTATATTCAGTTAGCCCCTAAGATTCACGGAGTCATGATTTATACTAATTTAAATTCCTGAATGGTTATGAAGTAGGCAAACGGTCTCTGCTTACTGTATTGCTTTCATTCTGCTCCCTACCATGGTTGGTGTTTGTCTATCCACAGCTACTTTTCATTTCCCAGTGTAGTTCCTTCTACTGTGTTGCCTCTAGTAGACTGGAGAAGGACTTAGCTGTAATCAGCCACACAAAATGGTGAAATAGACACTTTTTAAAAATATTTTTGCTTATCTTTTGCGTTGAGAATACATTTATTGGCACTGATGTGAAAGGAGCAAAATAGACTTGCTAATAGCAAGAAGATACTTTAGAATGGAAAGCATTCGATTTTGTCAACTATTACCAAGCAGAGGCCCTACCTTCTCATCACTGTGGTAGTTTAACACATTGGCAGGGGACAGGAGGTTATGGGACATCCATGGCATATACCCCTTTTATTTTTCACAGGTCCTGCACTGCTGTGTTTGTGGCTCAAGCACATACACCCAACAGAGTCACTACATATTGACCCTGGCTGACTTGTCGTCCACGGATTATGACCCCTTTTTGCCTCTGGCAAATGTTAAGAATTCTGAGCCAGTCCAATATCATTCATCAGCAGAATTGGGTAACCTACTTACTGTTGAAGCGGGTGAGTACTCTTAAGAATATAAATTCTTACAGGCAGGATAAGGAAAGATAGTAGCTGTTTGTCCATACTTGCTTTGTTATTTAAAAAATCTAGTTGTGGAAATCCTGGTTTCTAGAATCCTTTATAATGGCAAATTCTGCCTTCCTTGTTTCTTCTTTTCTATGCAATTTTCCTCCTCTTTCTTTTTCCATCTTAGTAATTCAAATGATTTTTATATTATTGAGGATCTCTCTGTCTCAGACCTCTGAGACATGCAAAAAAAGGCTCATTTACTATCTCAGGAAGCTTTACATCCAGTGAGAGAGACAGAATTAATACATAAGGACTAATTTGTGGACCTGTAGTGCCATGGGAGCTTTCCATAGAGAACGACTGAAGCCAGGGTTAGAAGGTTAGGAGGATGGACAGGCGTTGAAAGGAGTTAGTAGATTGTTCCAGACTAGGAGATCATTGCAACGAGAGAGATGGGAATTTACATGCTGCAATTTGAGGTTTGCTCTGCTCAGAGCAGAGGGTCCATTTTTGGGTATAATAGGCATTATCAGGACTTAGTGGCTGCTGTATTTCCTCTTCAGCAACCTACTGTCCAAAATGACAAGAGCCCGTCTCTGGACCTTGGAACAAGAGTCATAATGTGGGTGTGTACCGTGCTTTCAGGGGACATCTAGGTCAATTGGCATAACAAAGTTTTTTAAGAAAATGTTCTGCATCCCAGTTTGGTGAGTGACGTCTGGGGTCTTAAAAGCTAGCGAGCAGCCATCTAAGATGCATCAATTGGTCCCAACCCACCTAGAGTAAAGGAGAATGAAGAACACCATGGACACAAGGAAAGTATTAGTCCAAGAGACAGGAAGGGCCACATAAACCAGAGACTCCATTAGCCTGAGACCAGAAGAACTAGATGGTGCCGGATACCACAATGACCTCCCTGACGGGAACACAATAGAGAGTCCCTGATGAAGCAGGAGAAAAGTGGGGTACAGAAGTCAAATTCTAGTGAAAAGACCAGACTTAATGGTTTAGTTGAGACTGGATGGACCCTGGAAGACATGGCCCCCGGGCTCTCTGTTAGCCCAAACTAAAACCATTCCCAAGGCCCACTCTTCAGACAAAGATTAGACTGGACTATGGGACAGAAAATGATCCTCATGAAGATTGTGCTTCTTAGCTCAAGTAGATACATGAGATTAAATGAGCAGCTCTCATCCGGAGGCGAGGTGAGAAGGCAGAGAGGGTCAGGAGCTGGTTGAATGGACACGGGAAATCCAGGGTGGAAAGGAACAGTGTGCTGGTACAGTATAGGGAGAGCAAGTAGGGTCACAAAACAATGTATGTATAAATTTAGTATGAGAGACTAACTTGAATTGTAAATTTTCACTTAAAGCACAACAATTTAAAAAAAAATTAGAAAAATGTGGGTGTGTTATCTCCGAATGTGATAAAATTGTGTAGGACTAAATACACATACACATGTTGTTATTGTTAGTTGCCATCCAGTGGATTCTGACTCATGGCAACCCCCCTCCACACACAGAGGAGTACATGTAAAACTAGTGAACTCAATAATATTACTAGATTGTAGCAATGTCCGTTTCTTGTTGTGATATTAGACAACAGTTATGCAAGACATTACCATTGGGGAAAGCCGGGTGAAGAGTTTACAGGATCTGTCTGTATTATTTCTTACAACTGCACGTGAATCTTAAGCTGTCTTACAATTAAAAGCCAAAAGAAAATGAGGGTGTGAATTATTAGATCATCCATGAACATTTTATGGACTTTGCAAGTTAAAAACCTGGGCCCAAGAATGAAACCTTAGAGGTAAAAACGTCCGTAAAGGAAAAGGAATGAGGGAATGTCACCAGGAAACAAAGTCAGAGAAATGGAAAAGAACTAAGAAAGAGCGATTTCTAGGAAGCCAAGGGAAGAAAGCACACGCGTATGGCGCAGAGGGAGGTCGGTTGTGCCTGGTGCTCCAGAAAGTTCAAGAGGCTGCGAAATTAACCGGGAGCTATTTTATTTCCCCGTGGAGCATTTGGCAGTGGGTTTTGCCAGAGCATTTTCAGCAGAGTGGTCAGTCTACAGCCAGATAGCATGAGCAGGTGACCTGTATGTGGACCACTCAGAACACTGAGAAGACCCCTCTTGTGAGGCCCTTGGTGGAGAGAGGAAGAAAGAGCAGGCAGTAGCCAGGTGAGGGCACAGGGTCCTGGGGTGTGCTTATAGGATTGCAGAGTCCAGAGTAGGTTCCAGCTGAAATGAAAGGGAGAGGTGAGGGGAGGATGAAAAAGATAAGACTGGGACAGCAGTTAGGCAGTTGGAAACAAGGGTTTGGAATCCAAGCATCTTGATTTTGGTTCTGTTTTGTAGATGAGAAAACTGAGGCTAAGGAATTTTCCCAGGGGTGTCAGAAGTAATTTAGGTAGGATGTGGATCTAAGAGTTAATGACAGACTTCTTGAAATATCATATTATTTACTCTGAGACTGTGCCCTGGAGTAGACTGTAGACTCTTATTTTGATTTGTGTTTGTGATGAACTGTACGTGGTACCTTTTCATATGATACTTTAGATTGCCCTCCATTTCCTTAATCACTGTCTTGTCTTTTTCTGGAATTCTCCCTGTTCTGTTAAACTGCAATAGTTTTCCTTAACTTTTTTCCACAATTATAAATTTAAATCATATTTTTATTAAATAATCAAAATGACCCTTGATCTAGTATTTCTTTTGTTCTTTCCTATCTTGTAGTTCATAGTCTTATAAGAAAATTAACTCACTTTTTCCTAAAGTTGTTAATTTACTCTCTCACATGGCTGTCCCTAAAATGGGTTCACCACTGATTATGGTTTGTCACTCCAATATAACAGAAGATTGGTAGGTTAGTGAAAAGGAAGAGTCTAAAAATGCACACTTAAATTTTAGTACTACTTTTCTTTTTCCTGCAACTGTTTCTTTTGACGTAGAACCCTCTTTGAGTATTCATTCTTCAGAAAGCCTCAGGACGTTATGCAAACCTGTGCTGACAGAGCTCTGTGGTACTAAAAATAATTGTTTAAACTTCTGTGACAGTTTCTTAAAATTCACTAACGTTTTAACTAAATAAAAAAACAAGACGCTTAAAAACATTGGCATGCACAGACACTCTTACCAAGTGGGTACATGCTGTTCGGAGTGAGGAAGAAAAATGGAGCTGATAGCTTAGATCTTTTAGGTTAAATAAAATGTGCTCATATTGGAGGGTTTTTTTTTTTTCACTCAGTGTCATAATTCACCATAAACTTCTAGTCAGATAGTATTTCTAATAAAGCAATATCATATTTTTATCTGTTATTCTAGAGTTACAAAGGGAGACGTAGCTGCCTACAGCTGAGGTGGCTGCTGGCCCTGTCAGAAAAGGGCCCTTAAGAGCACACACGTGTGCTCAGATTTCTAATCCTTGGTACCTAATTGCTTAAAATGAAGGGAGCTTTAAAAATGGAAGTTAAAGGAAAATCTAAAATCACTGCTTTTACATTTCATCTCTAAATTGAGAAAAGTAAAGATAATTTGGAATATAATTTGGACGTCATGAGCTTGTTTTTTCTTTAATGGTGTTTAGATTTTCCCTTTATTTTTCAAGGAAGCCATAAGCAATTGATTCAGCTGAAATCTGCCAGAGAAGAAAAAATTTTAATTCGCAAATATTTCTTTTCCTTACTTTTCAGTAACAAAGATATTTTGGATTTTTATTGGGTGTGTCATGGTTTATGATTTGATTAGTACAATTCCAGGTAAATTTCCCATTATAGAATTCAACACTTTCATAAGATACAAATTTATATTTACTTCACATTGAAAGCACAACGTCTGTGAGTACAAGTAAAAGAAAGTTGACTTTCTAATTATTATTTGTGCCTTGGGCTTTGTTTGATTGGACCTTTCTCATTCAAGCTTTATCACCTGTTCCACCATGCCATCCTTATCAAGTGTCTCACCTTGGGAGCCCACAGTCTCCCAGCCAGCTGCTTGTTGTTTTGGGCATTACATTGCTGATGGGGCGCATACTCATGTGGGATAGAAGCATGAATAAAAATTGTCTTTAACTTTTGAAAAAGTTAACATAGACGCAAAAGTCAGAGACGTTCATAACAGCAAATTCAAAAGAACTACCTGGTTGAGAACTTTAAAATTTCTTAGCTGTGTGGAAATCATATTCACTTCTACTAGGGTAAGGAAAGAAGAGTTTAATTTCAGAGGTGAATGTAGACAGCCCTTCTGTACTTTTCAAACATAAGCTTTTTAATATGAAAATTTATTTTGCATTAGAATACAGATGATTTTTTGTTTACTGAAAATAAAAAAGATATCTAAGAAAGTTTAGGACAATCTTGTTTCATTCATCACACAGAATTTCTTAGATTCTGGGATTTGATGGTTTCTTTCTAGGATTTATACATCATAAAATTTATGTGTTATAAATAAATCAGTTGGATTTTTTATGTCTTTAGTTCACAATATGAATCTTAGTTTATTTTAAATTTTAGTGATTTTTTGTTAAAAAGTTTCATTTTTACTTGTTCTTAATGTGCATTTAAAAAAATTAATTTGACAAATTAAAATTTCCCTAATTCTTCACAAGCATAAGTCATTTTAATCCATACTTACAGATTTAATATATCTGCTTCTCCTTATACCACAGACATTTTGCAGGGTCCACTTACATGTGTTATTGTCAAAGTCTTTAAGTACATTTTAAATCTTAAAAATTTTGTAAATCAGTTACTCTTAGGTATTTAATCATCAACGATAAATTTAAAGCCTTGTAAGTATTTCCATGAGTTATTAGTATGTCAGATTCTCTTATTTCAAATGCAAAAACAAAACCTAAATTGTCACGATGATTATATAGCAAATTGCTTTAAATAAACTTAAGCTTGATTCATTTCCTTATCAGGGAATGAATACCTTTACCCCACTAAGGGGAGCAAGGTAACCTCTCTGGCCCACTCTCCCAGCCACCAGCTCTGCAGTCCTGTACAATTGTGGAAGTTTGACCCCACTGTCACACTCTTAAGGACAGGGACATTTCTCTTTTGTTTATTGTTTTAGCTATGGATTTTTAATTGTCCCTTTTGGAATGAAATACTCATGTCAGTTGAGTCTTTAAACAATCTATTTAAATTATGCTTTTAAATTCAGACAAAAAAGAAAATAGGTTAAAAAAAATTCCCAGACTGAAAAAGCAACCGTTCTAAGCACAGATTGAAATCTGGTGGTGTTCTGTTTTAATCTCCATTCACTACTGTCTTTATATTTCTTCACTAATGTTTATAGAAAAGAAGAGAAGAAGCTTGGAACTGATTCCTCTGACTGCTCGGATGGTGATGGCCCACCTGGTGAACCACCTCGGACACTACCCCCTCAGTGGGGGCCCTGCCATGCTGCACAGCCTCGTCAGTGAGAACCACGACAACGCCCACGTGGACTCCTCTGAGCTGTCGTCCGAGGTGTTCAGGAGCCCAAACCTGCAGCTGTTTGTATTTAATGACAGCACCCTCATATCATACCTGCAAATACCCACAGAGAGACCAGCAGGTGGCCCACCGGTGGGCGCCCTCTCTGACGTGAGAGTGATTGTGAGGGATATCTCAGGGAAGTACTCTTGGGATGGTAAAATTCTCTATGGACCTTTGGAAGGCTGCTTCACTCCCAGTGGAAGAAATTCCTCGTCTCTGATTTCAGGCTGGCATCATCAGACATTGGGACCTCAGAAAGTCTTTTCTCAAATTGAAGAAGGAGAAGACGTCCTTGACAAATTACTTGAAAACATTGGCCACACAAGTCCTGAGTGCCTTCGGCCATCACAGCTAAATCTAAATGAGCCTTCCCCACCCCCACGTGGAATGAGCTATGACCAAGAGAAGGAAATCACCGAGGTCATTTTGCGCCAGGACACACAAGAAGATGAGTATGTTCAGAGGTCTAACTCTGCCTCTGTGGTGAAAGTCGCCCGTCAGGGTCAGCCCATGCCGGCAGAGCCTCGAGGACCCTTCTATTTCTGCAGGTTACTGCTGAACGACTTGGGAATGAATTCTTGGGACAGAAGGTAACAGCCACTGTAGTCCTTCATTTATTTAATGTTGTTTTCATATGATCGTTCTTTGATCAGTTTGGAACTGGGGAGGGAAGTAGAGAATGGAATCGGGAGATTTTTCTGTTTCAGCATTACAGTTGCTAAATTAAAGGTAGAGATGAAACTGATCATGTTGTATATTTTAAAGGGTATCAAGCATTTTCTGTGTTTGTTTGTTTTTTAATTCTGTTTCTTCCATTATTGCTTCTACCTTCACACAAGGTGCTCATGGACTACACAGATTAATAAGCCACATTCTCACCTTAGGTCTGATGATGGAGGTAGCTTGATACAACTCTTTTGAAAGATATAGTGACACATGAGTTCAAGAGTAATGACTGATTCCAGTGGGAAGTGGCAAGGTAATGGAGAAGACTTTGTGGAAGAGGAAGAATTTGAGCTGGAGTGGAGTTTTCAGGACAGAGACGGGGAAAAGAGGTTCACAGCAGGGCTGACAGGCACAAACACACACGTGCAGTCACACATTCTCATTGACCACAGAGCCCTCCAGTGTCATTGGAGAGTAATGGGATGCAGTGGGATTTTGATGCCTTTGAATGTCTTAAGGAGGCTGGAGTTCATTCTGTAGGCTTCTATCACAAATCTTGAGTGACTATTGTGAGCAGTGGTTGGGTAGATGGATGATAACCTACTTATAGGTAGGTTTGTTGATTGATTGGAAGGGGCAAGATTGATCAGTGATCACATGATTTTTCTTCCGTGTTTTTTTCTTTATAGGAAGAACTTTCATCTGTTGAAGAAAAATTCAAAATTATTAAGAGAGCTAAAAAATTTGGACTCCCGTCAGTGGTATGTGAAAGTATATCAAACTACTTTATTCCTATTTTTGAGTATTCTTGGATAACAGATATAGCTGTAGGAATGAATACATCTATAGAGACACCCAGGAGTAGTTCTGTAACCTAGAATCTGATGACATTGGCACATGCCATCCTTTTGATACTTTTACCTTAAGGAATAAACTTTCATGTTTGCTGCCCTAAGAGGAGGCCAGTACTCCCACCTAATAGATGCCTTTTACTGGGTACCTTCCTGTGTGTCAGGCGGTTGACGTACATGCTCATTTAATCTCTGCAACGTCCGCTTTTTCACATGAGGAAGCAGAGGCTTACCTAGGTTGCATAACATGTTCATGGTCCCTCATCACCTGCAGGACCATATGATTTGGATCAGCCAGTGATCTGACTGCATAGCCCATGCTGCGCACCAGCGCATGGGCATTCTGTAGTCTTTGTTTTATGATGTTGGAAAGGTTAAAACAGTGTGTTGTAATTAAAAATCTCTATTATAAAGCCTCATTCTCTAAAGTTGGTCATATTCTCAGATCTACCGCTCTTCCATTCAGTCTCAGAAGCAATTCTAAAGATGAGCTCACAACCGTGAAAAGTTTTTGATTTGGGGGAATGCATGCTTGCAAAACCACCTAACTCAAGAGTAAATGTAGCACTTGGTATATAATAGGTGCTTTAAAAGCCTTGAAAAGGAGAAACTGTTTTAATTTTTCTTTTTAATAAAAAAAAAAAAAAAACCTGTTCTCGCCACCACCCCACTAAATGTACTGGTCTACTATCACATCGGCTCTCAAGTAAAGAATTCAGATAATCTTCCTCAAGTTTATTGTTTAACTTCTCACACTGTATTTTATTCACTACATTTTGCCTACCCCTTTTTTTAACTCATAAAGTTTTTAATATATTGTAAGCTATATGGTCTGAAAGGGTAGTGCAGTTGCTGACTGGAATAATTCTTTAGAATGCCCCTAGGATTGAATCAAAAGCAAAAGTGGATGAGGAAGCAAGGAGGAAGAAAAGAAACAACAAAAGCCTGCTTTAACCCAATATGCCTTGACAGGTCCTGTCCTGGTATTTGGGGAAGGTACTGGAGCTCTCTATTTCATTCATTCATTCATTCGGTCAGTCATTTATCCACTGCCATGCTTCCATTTTAAGGCACTTGGTTCCTCTCCTTGGCACTTAGGTGATGAGTTATGTACTGGCTGAGCAAGTATTTTCGCCACCATGTGTGATTTAGGTTGCTTTGTTATGATTTTTGTTGTTTATTTTGTAGTTTTGAGCAAAACTCAGAGATGGCACATCCTTAAAGTGCGTTTTCAAGCAAAGTCTTGATTCACATCACTGTGATTCACATGTCAGGCTCACACTGTTACTCTTTTTTGGTGGTCTGAATTCTTGAACTGCACATAAACACAATAATCAGTAATTAAACTCTAGTTGGAATTTTCTTTTACATATTTTTTTCTTACAAAAGTCATGTTGTTATGTCCCTAAGGACAGAGCAGATAAAACTGCACTAAGCTTACATGCTTCCTTTCACTCTTTCAGGAGCATCTAGTGTTAAGGTGGATTTGTCTATATTAGCCACTATATGGGAATCACTGGGGGTATAGGTTTTCTTTCCTGTCTCTTTTTTTCTTTTCTCTTCTTCACTTTTCAAGCCTCCCACGTGTCTTCCTAGTCAGCCAGGACTTCTTATAATTCAGGCGTCTCATATTTACGTACATCTTCCAAGTCTTGGTAATGTGCTTGTTTGGCGGCTCCAAACGAGTTGCCCTCTGCCGAAGGGTTTCTCTAGGTAGCTTTGCTGCTCTTGTGGAGAGTGGTAAGTATTTTAGTCTCATGAAATGTATAGGATTATAAAAGAAAGAGAGATACGGGACTAAAAGGTTCATTCATAGCAGTACCTGGGACTCTGGTCTGAAGCCAGCAATTCCATTGCTGTTTTAAAAGTCCTTATTTCTTGATACTCAGCTGAAACTTATGGTAAACTATGAATCTGTGGATTTGAGTTTAAAGAATTAAAATAAAACTTCTGAGAGGTGAAAAATCTAAAGAAATTATCCCTCCCACTGCCCATCCTCAGACTCAGTTTGCCAATTATTGTTGTGTTTCTGTTTCTGTAGAAGAGCAGACTGTTCTCTGTTGAAATTCTGTGAAGGATTTCTTCTGAAGGACGCAGGGATTCATTTCCTTCTTCCTCTTGCCTTGGGCAGCACAAATGGTTAAATGCTTGACTTCTAGCCAAAAGGTTGATGGTTTGAACCTACCCAGAGGCGCCTCCGAAGACAGGCCTAGTGATCTACTTCCGAAACGTCACAGAACTTGAAAACCCTATGGAGCAGTTCTATTCTGCACACATGGGGTTGCCATGAGTCAGAATCGACTTCAGTGGCAGCTAACAACGACTTGTCCTCCAGTGTTAAACAAGCAGTCATTTGGGTTCCAAACTCAACTTTTCAAACATATGCTGAATTATTCTGTGCTTCTTAGTAGTAAGTGAATATGTTGGTAACTTGTAATTGTGGCCAGTATGTTGAGTGTTAATGCACTTTAGTTGCATGAGTTACAGTTGAATTAGCTCCCTGGGGTGCTGTTGCAGTAAAATATACCTTTGAAAAGCTGTTGGCAAATCCTGTGCCCCTTGATTAACCTTTGCTTAAAACCCTAACTCCTGGATTTAGTGTCTACTTGACATCTGAAAGGCTATCAACTTATTTTATGGTAAAAGGTATTTTCAAAGTTCTTTAAAAAAAAAAGAAAGAAAGAAATAAGCCTGGGACCCTTCAGCTATGTGAAACCTAGGCTGTCATGCGTATTGGTCAGTTAGCAGGTAAGTTGTCCCTCAACTTTAACTTGGGACATTTCTATGTCTTGTATCAATTTATTTTGGCTGCTATTGAGGTATAGCTCCTTCTTAGCATGTCCGCAGGAAAAGTACAGATTATTTTACAGCCATTGTTTATATTCAAGCCTCAAGTTGCAGTATTGAAGAATTCTGCAGGGAAAATATTATAACAACCCAGGAAGCTTCAAAAGAAGATGGAAGGAATACACAGAGTCACAGTACCAAAAAGAATTGGTCAACATTCAGCCATTTCAGGAGGCAGCATATGATCAAGAACCAATGGTACTGAAGGAAAAGGTCCAGGCTGCACTAAAGGCATTGACAAAAAACAAGGCTCCAGGAATTGACGGAATACCAATTGAGATGTTTCAACAAACAGATGCAGCGCTGGAAGCACTCACTTGTCAATGCAAGAAATTTGGAAGACAACTACCTGGCCAACCAACTGGAAGAGATCCATATTTGTACACATTCCAAACAAAGGTGATGCAGCAGAGTGGAAATGATCAAACAATATCATTACTATCACACACAAGGAAAATTTTGCTGAAGATCATTCAAAAGTGGTTGCAGTAATACATCTGCAGGGAACTGCCAGAAATTCAAGCTGGATTCAGAAGAGGACGTGGAACAAGGGATATCATTGCAGATGTCAGATGGATCCTGGTTGAAAGAGAGAATATCAGAAAAATGTTTACCTGTGTTTTATTGACTATGCAAAGGCATTTGACTGTGCGGATCATAACAAATTATGGATAACATTGTGAAGAATGGGAATTCTGGAACACTTCATTGTGCTCACGAGGAACCTGTACTTAGACAAAGAAGCAGTCGTTGGAACAGAACAAGGGGATATTGCGTGGTTTAAAGTCAGGAAAGGTGTGCGTCAGGGTTATATCCTTTTACCATACTTATTCAATCTGTATGCTGAGCAAATAATTCAAGAAGCTGGACTGTATGCAGAAGAACAGGGCATCAGGATTGGAGGAAGACTCATTAACAACCTGCGTTATGCAGATGACACAGCCTTGCTTGCTGAAAGCAGAGGACTTGAAGCACTTAACTGATGAAGATCAAAGACCACAGCCTTCGGTATGGTTTACACCTCAACATAAAACAAAAATCCTCACAACTAGACCAATAAGCAGCTTCATGATAAACGGAAAAAATATTGAAGTTGTCAAGGATTTCATTTCGCTTGGATCCACAATCAACGCCCAGCAGTCAAGAAATGAAATGACGCATTGCATTAGGCAAATCTGCTGCAAAAGACTTCTTTAAAGTGTTGAAAAGCAAAGCTGTCTCTTTAAGGACTAAGGTGCGCCTGACCCAAGCCATGGTGTTTTCAGTCTCCTCATATGCATCTGGACAACGAATAAGAAAGACCAGGGAAGAACTGATGCATTTGAATTATGGTGTTGGCGAAGAATATTGAATATATCATGGACTGCCAGAAGAACAAATCTGTCTTGGAAGAAACACAGCCAGAATGCTCGTTAGAAGCAAGGATGGCGAGACTTGGTCTCACATACTTTGGACGTGTCATCAGGAGGGATCAGTCCCTTCGCCTTCACCTTCGCCTCGACAGTGCCTGGCAACAAAACATTGTATATGTAATGTGAAGTCAGCAAAGATGTAAATTATATGATGAACACTTGTAAATAACAGTGGGCTTCCCTTTTAAATATCACTCCCTTCTTGATAAGGTGAATGTTGAGATCACGTTTTTCTTTGTTTGGCTTTTTAATGTGATAGCACAAGGAAGCAGACCTATTCTCATCTAGCCCTAATAATAAAGAAAAATGCAATCTAATGAGGAGGGGGAAGTTATTGGTTTTATGTATGTGTGTTCCTGAATTACCTGCTCCTTCAGGCATTGGTTGTGCAGCCTGTGGCTGTGAAGTCCTGTTGATGTTGCTAATTATCATTTCAAAAGCCTGGCTCTAACAAGGCCAGATACAGTCTGCATCCTAGCAGGCTCTCCCGATGCTAACATTTTGGAGGATGTGAAATTTGATGGATGTTTACAGCTAAAGGTCACCTTTCCTCCCCTCTACATCAGTCATTCATTCAGGCTTAGGGCTAATGAGTTAATGAGAACTCAAGGACCTGCGAGCAGCTACAGTGTAAAGAATGTAGCCTTGAAACAGAATAAACAAAAACATTTCGGATAAACCAGAGATTGTTTTTATGTTATGTAAAGTCTGTAGAATAGAAAAAAATGAAATGCTGAAGACTTTGCAATATATAGAGACTGTTGAAAAAGACAGTCTTTTAGGTCATAGGCTATGATCTATGTTATCATTGGAGGCTCAGGTTACTCTGTCTCTTAGAATTAGCTGGTCACATTCTAGGATGTTAGTGTCCCCTGCCTGTTGCTCAGAATAACAGTAAGTGGTGTCACGATTTCAGTGCCCCTGCTGCGTGAGGACAAGCTTTCTGACAGTCAGAGAATACAGATTTCCACTAGAGCATCTGTTCCTCCGTCCATCACCATGAAACGTTCTCTCCTTGTAGCACCTGTCCCTTCAAGAGGTCTGCCCCAGAGGATGTCCTCAAGCCTTGCTAGTCCTAATGTTCAGGATGTTCATTCAGCCTTTCTGGTGGCAGCAGGACAGAATGTATCAAAAGCCTTAAAAATGGGCAGTGATTGAAGAATTCTTCTTCTATGACTATATCTTAAGGAAATATTAAAAATACTGTGAAAATGTCTTTAAAATTGGAAGCAACTTAAATGCTAATAAGGAGGGTTTACAAATATGATACATTAATATATTGGAATGTTTCACAACCATTTATAACTTTGTTGTAGAAGCACATAGTATAAAAAAGTGTTCACAAATATTTTAAGTGAAGAAATCAGTTGCAAAACAGAGTGTTGTAGCTTCTTATATTTGTGTGCAAAAATGCTCCCTAAAAAGGTAACAGCTGTATTTTTTGCTTACATGTTGAAATTACAAATGATTTCTTTTATTTGGTTCTTGTTTTCCCTTTCTGTATTTTCTAATTTTTCTCCCAAGTATGTCTATTACATGTAAACCATGAGGGGAAATGAATAAGCTATTTAAATAAATAGAAGGAGAGAACATTCCTCCCCCAGTTACTTATTTAACTTTGTAGTTCAGCTTATTAAGTAGAAAGATAACTCACTGCAGAAAGAAGTATTTGAGGATTTGTTACAATCTGGACCTCAGATTCCAGCAAAATGGATGTCTAATCAGATTACAATGTTGAGATATTAGACAATTAGACAATAGAAACGTTTTCATATTGTTTGAGCACTTGAGGGAGAGTTGTTCCTATGAGATTTTCCAGAATGTAATACAAAAATAAGAAGAATGTAATTGCTCTGGAAGTGGTAATTCACATTTCTTTTAAAAAACAGACTAGAGTAGAACTCTAGGCGGATGGAGCCGTGAAATGAATGAGTCTTGTTTAAAGCTCTGTTTGAATAAGAACTGTGTTTTTATCTCTAAACTATCACCAAATTACTGGTTATAGGTCCGGTTATATTGGCACTTTAGGATATAATTTGTAGAAATTGATTATTAATACATTGAAATACATTATCTCTGGTCAGCTCAACCTGTATGCGAAGGTCTGTGCTAGATATACAAAAACCACAAAGACAGGCTTCTTTCCTCAATGTGCGTTCACATTTCCTTGATTTAACAGTAGAGCGCTCTTATGGAGGAAGTGGATGAGGGCTTGTATGGGCAAAAGAAGTTTCCATGAACATCCACCCCTCTCACCAGGTACCCTCAGAATAGTCTTAGCACAGGGTCAGTGCCCCTCCTCACAAAGAAAATACCTAAATATGTTCTCCTTAGGGGAAGTTTCTGTTTCTCATGAAGTCTTGACAAATCTTACAATTCCAGTAGGGAACTACCCAATATTCTTATCTCAAAGTGTAGAAAGAAAAGTATGGACAGCCACATAGATCTATTCACAGCTAATATCTATTTGAAATATTTTGAAAGGTTTTTTTTTTTTTTTTTTAACCAAAAGTGGAAATAACATGTTATTCTCTGACATGGTGTTCAGTAGATTGTATTGTTGAGAGTGTGATCTCTGGAATCAGACTGCCTTGTTTCAGTTCCTTGTCTCCTGTTGCTGTGTGCGCTTTTTGTTTACCTTCTATGCCTCCTTTCAGCCACCTCTACAAGGCAGGTGATGATGATAGCACCTATCTCATTAGGGTGCTTGTGAAGAATAAATGAGATTATGTCTTAAACCTTAGAACAGCGACTGACACCTAGTAAGAGCTCAGTAAATATTAGCTCTGTAATGGGAGTCATGCTGGGGGTAGCAGTCAAACAAAATTTTACCTGTAAGAATTCTAATGCCTGTTAATTTAAAAATTTACAGCCGTGAAACACACAAAATCGCAGTGTTTTACATTGCTGAAGGCCAAGAAGACAAGTGTTCCATCCTCTCCAATGAAAGAGGGAGCCAAGCATATGAAGACTTTGTTGCCGGACTTGGATGGGAGGTAATTCATGTCATTCAGTAGGTGCTTATTGACCAGCAGTATTTAAAGACATGTATAAACTAGACATTGATCTCCCTCATTTTTATCCATGTTTTCACATTCAAACATAGCGTGGGTAGCATTCTGGAGTTGAAGAATATGTTGAATTTGACATCTTCTATTAGTTGGCTTTTCCACTCTTTATACATGAACTTTTGTTTCCTGTTAGTATTATTTGATTTGCCTTTTGCCAGAACTGAATAGTCAGATGGGCTTACCTAGCTGTAGACAGTTTATAGTAAGAGAAGACAAGATGTGGGCAGAGAAGCAATGGGTTTGGCCACAGTATGGAGATTGGAGAAGAAATCAATAACTTGGTAGGTGAAAAGATGAAGAAAGAGTTGGATGAAGTCAAATGTTGGAATGAAAATAGAATATATTAGCCATGATGGTTTAAATAGCAGCCTACTTCCCTAAGGTAGATCCCAGGATGATTGATATGGAAAAAAGATTGGTTTTGTTGTTGTTTTTTTTTTTTACAAGTAATACTCTGATACAGACATATGTACATTTATACACACAAACACATATTTGTATCCAGAAACATAAATCGGTGGGAAAATGTACCCCCTGAATCTAAAATAACTCAGAGTAGTTAAAATGGAAATCAGTATATCTGAAATCATGTTCTTACTTTTGTTTTGGTCGCTCAGTTCCCTGTGCTGTGGGAAGCTCCCTGGGTGCATTAATAGCGAGCACCGCTTGTCTCTGAGAGCTCAGTGTTAACAAGCGGAAGGGTGTGGAGATGGGGTGGGGATGGGGTAAGGGTACAGCAAGGTCAAGACCATGTCCTTGTTTAAAAAGTCCAGTAAGTTTTAGTCTAAAGGAGTTATTACACTTCCAACAAATTGTTGTTGTTCTTACTGATAGGGTGACTTCTTATTTGTTATAGAATATGCTTATTATTTAACTAATACATTTTTAAACCATACATTTTTAACTAAAGTTTTAAGAAAAAGTTAGAACATTAACTCGGTATATATGTTGGTTATATTTGGCACAGAAGTGATTCTTCTATTTCTTTCTTTCAAGTGTGTTAGAAGAGGTACTTTATCGAAAGTAAAAAAATTTTGATCTAGGCGCTGACTAAGCAGTGAACATTCACACCTTAGCTTTAAAATGAATTATGACTAACAGACTTTGGTGATGGTGTAAATTGGAACAACCCCTTTGAAAGGCAGTTTGGCACTAGCTGTTAAATTATGGAACAGCTCAACCCCTTACCCCAACATCCTATAGAAACATTCCTTTGAGTGCTCCCTCAAGTGTGAGGATGTCCACACTAGCCGTTTGAGAAAGCAGAAACCCCCACAAACTCATCAGGAGGGAAGCTGTGCGTGCGTGCATGCGTGTGTGTGTATATGTGTGTTTGGCTGTGTATAGTGGGGGCGGAGGGAGAGTGGGAGAAATATGTGCCAAACTGTTGATAGTGGTTTTCTTTAGTAGGTAGAATTATGGAGCATTTTCATTTTTAAAATTCTTTATTTCTTTAATAGTTTAATTTTGTCTGACTTTGTATTTCATTTGTTTGTAATCAGAAAGACAGAAATAAAAATAGAGTTGTTTTTAATCCACATTCTTGCTTAGTAAGTAAGAACAGCCATTTTGATCTCCATCCTCTTTCCCCTTGCAACCTGCACCAGGTGGATCTTTCAACCCACTGTGGGTTCATGGGCGGCCTTCAGCGCAATGGCAGCACGGGGCAGACCGCCCCCTACTATGCTACCTCAACCGTGGAAGTGATTTTCCACGTTTCCACGAGGATGCCGTCAGACTCAGATGATTCACTCACCAAAAAGGTAAGGGGCCTCCTCAGGGACCTCTTAGCGCCCTCGTTTGTGGGTGAGGCTCTACTGAAACTGGAGGGAGGCCACAGGGCAGCATGAGTAAGACTGATTTCCTCTGGACTCCAAATCGCTGTCTTTCTTTCTCAGTCTACAGTTTTGCTTAATCTAAAATGTCCTAATTGACACACACTGCATAAAGAAATTTATGAAAAGCAGTCACTCGAGTTTTAAATCCTAAGATTAAGGTCTAGGAAAAGGAACCATCTTAATTGTTGTTATTTTTGGGTTTTTCTCTACATGAATATTACCCTACAGAAGTTAGCAGTTTTAACCTGTCAGACTGATAAAGATCATGAAATGTCATAAGCCTGTGCTGCAGGGTTGTAGGAAAGCAGGCCCCTCTCAGACACTACTGTGAGGTAATTTGGCAGTATCTATCAAAGTGACAAGTGGGCGTGTGCTGCTGCCCAGCGGATCCACCTCTGGCGCTTACCTGGAGTCCTCCTTGAACTTGGGCCTGGGAGCGGTTTTCTCTAGAATGCAAAGGAAACCTCCTCCATCCCTGAGGAAACACCCAGGATGCACAGCCCAATACTTCCAACCTGTGGGATGTTTACCTCAGGTGACCATCTGGTAAGAACTAAGGAGTTTTGGACTGTGAAGGGAGCTTAGAAATCTGATCCCACTTCTGTAAGTCCCAGGTGAGAGAAGAGTCCCAGAGTGACCATGACTATAACCCAGAACCGAGGAACTGAGGACAGCAGCTGGATGGGTCAGGAAGCATGTCATTCAGACACTGACTAAGGCTGGCCTTTGACGCGGTGTGTGGTGGTTGTAGCCAAGCCCTTTAGGCAGGCAGACCTGGGTTCAAATGTGCATCAAGTTACTTAACCAGCCTGTGCCTCAGTTTCCCCATCTATCAAATGAGATTAAAAACACAGCCTTGTCACAGGGTTGTTTGAAATAAATGAGATCATACCTATAAAATTGCTCAGCACAGCGCCTGGGAAGATCTCTGTAAGTGTCAGCCATCATCCTTGCCCACAGGTCCGATTCTTTTTCCCTGCCCCCTTAGCCAGATGATTGATATGGGCCAGCGGGCCTCACGGTCACTGCGTCAGTCTTTCCTCTACGGTCTTGCTTTCTCAACGCTGCGGCAGCAGATGTCTAGACCACATACGGTGGTGTGCCACGGCATGCAGGAGACCCCAGAATTCCTCACAGCACAGCCAGACACCTCCAACAGCAGTGACGTGTCTCCTAGGCTCCCTGACCCTGCTCTTCTCGGGCTATCTGAGAGGACCACCTGCTGTTGTGCTCTCCTGTGGATGGGGGTGCTACAGCCCAGAGGTGCTGGCAGACACTGGTTCCCACAGGGCGTGGGGGAACTGGCTGTAGGTCCTGGGTATTGATGGCTGCCTCTGTCTGCTGTGCGCTTATGGAAGGGGACCCTGACCCTCATAAAGAGTTCACTTGTATCTCAGAGAATCTGTTTCAGATTATCAAGACCTAGGTGGGGCTTACACATCGTTTTTATTTGCAATATCTGGTAAATTGTCATCATATTCTATGGTTTTCTTATGAATGAGAACAATTTTGGTAAAATATATATTTACAGTTATGTGCCACATAGTACCTATTCAGGCAACCTCCGACCACATATAAGTCCGTGGTCCCATAGGTTATATCAAGTTTAGCGATCCTGATCGGAGAACAGGACAGAGTAGACGTAACACTTTAGAAACCCTCCCAAACCATGCAGTTTTCATTAGCATCACAAAGTAGTGCACGCATTCGTTATTATAAACCATCGCATATATTTAACTCAAATTTTTAATGTAATAGGCTTTATGGCAGTCTCTTCTTAAGTACGAGCTGTCTCTGACGTTCCTAACCCAGGGACTGCCTGTATATAACATGGCCTTTGCACAAAGTCCAAATCATACGATGTCCTATTTCACAGAACGTATTGTGGATGTTAAACGACACGTGACTGTGTATATAAAATGCACTTTTATTCGATTATTTCTTAAGGAAAGTGGGGTTGTCTTTTTTTGAGAAAAGACATATCATTTTCTTGATGAAACACCATGCTACAAATAATGTTCCGAGGCTTGGCCTAGTTGAGAGATTCCCTACTGTAATAATCAAAATTCAGCTGATACCTTTTGCAGCTCCAAGATTTAGCTTCATTAGCGGTAAACTCTCTTTATCAGGATGTCTCACAGCTAGACTAAAAATCAGTCCCAGTAACAGCAGCCCACGGTTCCTGTCTTATTCTAACTAAATTGCCCCTAACAGTTTAAAAATGAGCTGCAAAATTCTAAAGTGATTTGTGCTCTCTTCTCTCCCTGTCATGGGGGACTTTTTCAGTCCTGCAATCCGGCTGGAACCCCATACTGAACTTTTGATCCTTCTCTGCAGAAATTTGTTAGCTCTAGCTAGATTAGATTTTTCACAGCTAATCTAACTGCTGTAGGGGTTTGCAGAGTGGGGACAGAGCTCTGCTATTGGATTTGTCCAATTCATTTGACTCCAGGACTATAATTGCACTTATGTCTTACAAGGCTTTTATAGCCTCCGGCTGGCCAGCAGCATAAAAAACAAATTGGCAGTGATACAGTGCGAGTGAAGGGGGATGAAAGGCCCACATTATCAGTCTCCAGGCAGCACTGTTCTGGCAGGAAGTTTCTTGGTTAATTTACAAATAAAACTTAGATTTTAGGATGGGCACACTGTCAGCTGAACAATGGGAATGTCAGGCCTGACTGTTACTTAGTAAACGTAGCAGCCGGGCCCACTAAGGGGCAGGAATTCTTCAATCAAACAGATGAGTCCTTCTGGAGCCAGCTGGCGATGTAATGCAGTTAGTTGGGAAAGGAGGTCAGCCTATTAGGTGTGTACCACAACCAGTGTCACCAGTGGCGTGGCAACTGGCAGCAGCAGGCAGAATGGCTCGGGCAGAGGGACTTTGAAACTCTGTCATAAGGAGAAATGGCAGGACACAGCACTGATTTCTTAAGAGTTAGGAACGAAGCATTTGTTCTGAGCCTGGTAAGCATTAGTGCGTTCTGAAGCCTGTTGTGCAGCTGAAGCAGTGGTTGGCATGAGTTATAGCTCCATTTGAGAAGGAAACCCATCAGTCTCCTTCCGGATTACACAGGAATCAGATGAACTTAACTTTGGTACACTGAGCACTTGCACTCGTTGATTTCTAATTTGAGTGCCTTTAATAATGAAGACTTTCCAAAACTGGCAAAATGACATCTCTGCAATAAAACCGCTTTTCAACTGAGCAACACTTTTGAGGTATGCAGAGTGTTCCCCTGTGCTCTGACGTGGCTGACAGTTTCGTCAGATCAGGTGTATTGTTTTACATCCTTGTGTTCTTGTAGGCAGAAGAGTGTGTTTTTGCTCTGTGCTCCACAGTTACCAGCCAGTTACTCCTTGGCCTTAGCTGTTAGTTTGTGAATCAGTTAATTAAACTGTGACGTGTCCAGATGTCCGAGGCACATAACATTGAAAGCGCTATGAGATGATGAATATTGTATTATTGACACACAAAAATGATTCTTCCTTGATTTCATCCTTGCTGCCCTGGTAGGATGAGTCTGTTAGTGTGACACCATGCGCCCTTCTGTGGTCTAGAACACAGCTGCAAACAACTCTAGGAAAGACTAACTTGGGGTATGTAACTGAATGACTCAGTTCAGAAAAGGGAGAATAATTGCAGAATTTCAATATTCACCATATTATCTCAGAGCTAACACTTTGCAACTTACACTTCTGGATCAAAAGGAGCTGTCCGACGGCTTAGGGTGCTGGCATCGGGTGCTAGCAGCACGTTTAAAGCCTGTTTAGTAGGTGAGTTGTTGCCAGACATTTGTGCCAGCATTCTCCCAGGGGTCACAGAACCACGGGGAGGGTTGGCTTTCTTTACACGATGAGAGGGATAGGTGTGACCCTGGGCTGCCCCAGCTCTATCGCAGTTACTTTCTGCTGGTCTTAACACACACACGCACACGCACGCACACACGCACACGCGCACACACACACGCGCACACGCAGGTTTCAATTAGATACTACTAATGTTTCCCTTGAAAACATGGCTTTGTTGCTGGCCATCTGGCTACCATGTTTTTACTCCAGCAGGACTGAATTTCAGGAGTATGTTGTGAGGTCCCTATGTGATTGAAGAAGAAAAGCCCTGGTCTCTAAGGTGGAGACAGATATAGACACATGTTCAGTGTTATTATGAGAACCCAGTGTCATCTTTTTTTTTTTTTTTTTGGTAACTATTTATGTAATGGGTTGTCTGCTACCCTTTTAGCTCCTGTAAGTATATGGGGAAGGAGGAGAAGAAACACAAAAAGATACACTGGGTAATTTTGCATACTGAGAGTCACAGACACCATTAAATTGCTCTGGCTCATCGTTCCTTGTGCTCATCACCCACACTGCATTTGTCCTGGAGCCCATATTCACACAGCTGAATCGTGTACCCTCACTGTCAGTACAGAGATACAGGTGCACGCCTCTTTTTAAATAATTGACAGATACAGTTCTTCTCAGAAGTATTTGAGAGTAAAGTATAAGAAGGCATTGTAGCAAACCAACTTCTTTTATCACCTTATAAATGGAAAGGAGGCCATCCGTGTTGGGGTCACCTCTGATTTTCTTTTTGTGGTCAGATAGTCTATAGAGAAATTATATTTATACTAACATGTTTTAAATGCATAGTGTTTTTTTATATCTCTTAAGACAAAGCAAAACTCTAACTTTGATACACATCTGTTTTATTAAAAGGCCTCTGAATTTTGTCATTTTTAGTGTTTATCTTTTAAGACAAGCTAGGAAGCAAGAAATGTGTTTTCCTTGCAGTAGAAGGCATCCTTCTGCTGCTGCATGTGAGAGGATTGAAACCTGGAATTCTCGATAGGTGTCAGAGGGCCCTTACCTGTCAGCTGAACGGTTACAGGACTTTAGTTTTGGCCAACATTTTAATCACTATAATCTAGTTTCTTTTAGTCACGCTTTCAGGCTTCCTGAAATGATTTTGTATGCAGCTTTCTCCAGCCCAGGGTGGTGCAGTCATTACGTGGGAGGTCTATCAAGGGTGTTCTTGCATCTGATAGAGTTTGGCCCTGGAGGAACTCTCAAAGGGTCCCTTCCTCGGAGACTGTCTAATACCTGCTCAAAGAGGCCAAAAGTCTAGGATTTGTTTTTGGACTTTGCGGCCCCTTTGTGTACGTACAGTGATAAAACAAGTGAACTATTCCAACTGTGGCAACACAAGTAACCTTTGGTGTAGGTTTAGGTGGCTATGAAACAGTAGGAGTACACTGGATAGGAAGCCTCAGCCCAGGTCCCCAGGCCCCTTCTACCACACACTAGGCACGCACCTTGGATGGGTGGTGGCTTAGCCTTCCTGAGCCCTTTTCCTGCTTGTAAATGATCTATAAAGATAATGTGGTCTACCTCAGAGTTATTGGAAAGAGTAAACAAGACAATATGTGTGGATATACTTTCTACACAGTATGGCACTCTTTAAATGGTAGGTACTATTGTTCTTATCAAATTTAAGTAATATTTATTAGTTTTAGAAACAAATGTAATTTTATATGCACTTTTTCTTAAAGGTTTGTTACAAGTCAGGATTCTTATGTATTTGGTAACAGTTGTGTCATAATGGCTTGTGTTCTTTTATATTCATATTCTTTTTTTCTTAATGGCTTTGAATTAAGAGTCTTAGAAAGCTCTGCTGTAATGTAGAATAGACTCGTGTCATTGACTGTTTAGAAACATGCTCAGCAATATAAAGTGTAAGACTGATGCAGGAGTAGAGTTCACTTTTAAAAATTCTTGAATTATTGTTCAGCTATAAAGAGAAGTGAAGTCCCGGTACATGCTGCAGTGCGTGTGCACCTTGAAAGTGTTACGCTGAGTGAGATATGTCAGATACCAAAGGACAGATACTGTATTTTCCCACTTATGTGAACTACCTAGAACAGAAAATGCTTAGAGACAAAAGTTTATTAGTGGTTACCAGGGTCTGCAGGCAAAGAAGAAAGAAGAGTTACTGCTGAAGGGGTGCTGAGTTTCTGTTTGGGGTGATGGGAAGCTTCTGGAAATGGATAGTGGTGATGGCTGCACAACATGGTGAATGTAATTATGTCACTGAATTAATTGCACACTTAAAAATGGTTAAAATGGCAAAAGTCTTGTTATACGTACATTTTACCAAAATAATTTTTTTTTAATCCTTGAAAAGGTCTTATCCCCATCGAGTCATATTACATGTGATGCTTACATAAATTATCTCAGTACCAACATGTTTCATAGAAAATAAGCTGTATTTTTATACACTTTTGCTTTTTTAAATCCTCATAGAAGACATTGGTGTTGTAGCCTTTTTTGATAATGAAATATTTTTGCCGCTGAGTATTATAATTCAATTTGTAAGCCACGACCCTCATAAACTGCTGTTATCGCTCTGATTAATAAAGAGCCAATTTGCTGTTGCAGCTCCGCCACTTGGGGAATGATGAGGTCCACATCGTCTGGTCTGAACACTCCAGGGACTACCGCAGAGGTATTATCCCAACCGCATTTGGAGACGTTTCAATCATTATTTACCCAATGAAGAATCACATGTTCCTCATCGCCATAACCAAGAAACCTGAGGTACGTTTTTACTGCCCTATTGCTCTGACTTGTACGGCATTTGCCGTGTGATTCACTCTCATTGAAAAACAATGATATAGTTGTGTTAATGGGACTTTGATCAATTGGTGAGTGTCTTAAATATATCTGAGTTACATGTGCTATATGAGAATTAAATGTGAAATGGGATTTTCAAAGAATCTTTCATCATGAGCACAGAATTCTATGTTTCATTGCTTGGCCTCTTTGAAAATTATAATGTCAAAGAAACTCATTTTTAAAAGTGTTAAGTTTTAAAACTTTGTAATTTAAAAGAAAAGTTGTAGTTTTAAATTTTGGACACATTGATGAGTAACAAGAGTGGAATGGACCACGTATCACATGTAGCATTTTGTGGGTAACTGGGAGTGCGGCGTCCAACCTTCCTGACTGGTGGAGCTTGCCGAGCTCTGACTAAGGCTAGTGGAGATCGATCCTGAGGAGAAGAGCCTGGGCCAGTGCAGCACAGCCTGTGGGATGATTTTTAACAATTGAAGCACCTTGCCACAGAATCAATTCAACCATGTCAGTTGGTATTGATCATGGAAATGGATGGAACAATCCAATGGTCTGTGTGCCGTGTACTAAATTGGCTGCTGTTTCGATCCTTGTTATGCCGTTAGTGGTATTTTAGCAGTGCTTAATATAAACCCATTGCCGGTGAGTCGATTTTGACTGATTGTGACTCTGTAGGACAGAGTAGAATTGCCCCATAGGGTTTCCAAGGCTGTAATCTTTATGGAAGCAGACTGCCACATCTTTCTCCCACTGAGTGGCTGGTGGGTGCGAACCACCAACCTTTCGATTAACAGTGAGTGCTTAACCACTGTGCCACCAGGGCTCCTTTGTGCTTAATATGGTGATTTATTTTCGTTTTGGAATTATAAATAGGAGTTTTTTTGTTTTTGTTTTTTTTTAAGTTTTTATGTAGACATTTAGCATTCTTGGTGGTATTTTTCAGCTTGATATTAAATACAACTCTTCATTTTCATTCCAAACTGTTTTCCTGAAGAAGCTGAAAGTTACCATTCTAAAAAAATTTTTTCAGCTTTAAAATAATAAATGAGATTTGCTGCTGACGTTGGGGTTTATAACCTAATCTAAAGTGTTAAAAGTCGTGAGGGTTAAATGAGCTAACAAATGGAAAGTGCTTCAAACAGTGCCTGGACCATAGCAAAGTTGTTTAAGTGTTATTATTATTGTTATTACCGTTATTATTTCTTATTATAGCTGCTACCATGGAAATAAATTAAATAATAAAACCCAGGTTTAACATGCTTGTTATTACTCAGACTAGATACAGTGTGGATCAACTCCTGAATCCAGAAAAGTCCTACTCTGGCTCGTGAAAAGCCTGATAGAACTGGTGGCTTTATAAGATTGTCGATTATCTTTTTCTCTCAGATTGCTGACATAAAGGGGACCCTCTTTTCTATTCAGGGAGCAAAGATGCCAAAAGTTACTTCACATTAAATATTTGTACTATCTTTGATTTGGGTCTCTGTGTATGTGAAGTTTTCACTTTTGTAGATGAGAATGGTTCTTAGTGCTCACACTTGTGTTTGTCCAGGAAGAGCACGCCTTTAATTTTAAGAATTAAACCAAACATTTCAGTATTAGAGAACAAATAAATTTTTTATCTTGTAGCTTTCAAAACTAGAAAATTTGTGTCTTTAATATTTAGCATAAATTAATTGACTTTAATATTTAGCATGGACTGACATGGCCCTGTAAAATGTCATTTAGTGCCACAAAAATGTCATCTTTATTTTTTCAAGTAAATAACAATTATAAAAGTTATTTTAATTCACTTTGTAGTGTCAAAAGTTATTTCTCAAAACAGTAGTACACTTATAATGCATGAAAATAAACCTTAACATCTGTTTTAAATTTTCTTCATAAATTGTGTGTTAGTTTTATAAATTTGGTCTTAAATTCTGACAAGAAGAATTGAGAAAAATCACTTTCTTAATATTTTAATTCAAAACGCGTAAAGGGAAGAAGAGCATAATGGCCAACTGGAAATTTAGTGTTATCCTTACATTTAAAGCAGAAACCATTACAATGTAATAAAGTTAATCCAGACATTTCCAGGGCAAGTGTGGGTGACCTTTTGTTCACCAACCACTGACCCCCGGGTGAATGCAGGAGGCTCGTGGAGGGAAAGTCTGTTTGTTTGGCTTCAGTCCCTGGTATTTAAATTGCATTCCCTAATCAAATGAAAAGGCTGTCCTCTCTATCAGGTTACAGAATCCATGGCAACATTTGGCCTTTTATATCCATAATGTTAGCCTTTTTGTTTGCATCTAAGTAGAGACACCTGGAGCAATGTTAACATTAACCGATTTAGCATTAATAGCTTCATTATATAAGAATTTCTGATCAGATAGCTGTTACTTTTGTTATATTGCTTCAGCTTGTATTGTTGTCATTTTTTATCTCCCTGCTTGGCAACCAGGCAATGATTTGCAAATTTTTTTTGTCTTGATTAATTAAGCAATATAATTATCAGTAACCGTGATGCAGTCTTTGCTCAACAAAGCTTCTGAGAGAAAACAATGGTAGGTCTGTTAGTATGAATGCATTCCACGCGTCCCAGATGCATGAGGATATTGTGGACAATGAGAGGAAAGGCCGCCTGTGAGCGAGGACAAAGGGTGCCACGCAGACTCAACACACTGCGCATACCGCCAGGGACATGCATGCTGCGGGCTCCCTGGGACACAGACGCCTCGTTAGATTACAGCTAGTCAGCAGAGATTAATTCTCAGCCATTTGGTGCAATAATTTACCCATTCCCCAGTCTTTTAACTAGTGCTCCTTACTATAGAAGTGAAGGCTTTGTACTCAAAAGATTTATTTAACCTTGCCTACTTTTAGGATCTCCACCAAAATCATTATTTTTGCTTAGAAATTGTAATGAAGCAGCTGCTTGAAGTTGAGGAATATTTCTGTTGTGAGAGGACATGCACAAGTTTCAGAAATTGTAGGTAGAGTCAAAGTGGCTCTTTTAGCACCCGTATATTTCATCTAAATATAGTGTGACTCTGGTCTAAGTACATTTATTTTTACTGTTCTCTGGGTAGCCACACTTCTCAGAGAATCATTTTAATCCTTTTTAGGAGCAGGGAGACCATCAGTACACAAAAGTCCTGCTCATTGCATTGAGTCATGCATATTCAGATTGTGCTTTCATTCACTCGGCCTCATTAATAGCCTATGTAATAATGTAGGGCTATTTGTGAGACAAGCGAACAGGCACCATTGCTTCCAAGTCCTTTGAAATTCAACATATTTCGCTTTTTCATTCCATACACCTCTCTTAAATATACAAATTATGTGCCTGGCAGAACCCGCCTCCTGCTAATAATACACAGCGTCTGTGGAACGGTTTAAGGAGTGTAGATGTGCTTGTGTGAGCACGTGTCTGAGGAGGGTGGGTGTGCTTGCGTGAGCGCGTGTCTGAGGAGAGTGGGTGTGCTTGCGTGAGCGCGTGTCTACATGAACACGTCTGAGGAGGGTGGATGTGCTCGTGTGGGTGCGTGTCTGAGGAGGGCGGGTGTGCCCGCGTGGGCGCGTGTCTGAGGAGGGCGGGTGTGCCCACGTGGGCGCGTGTCTGAGGAGGGTGGGTGTGCCCGCCTGGGCGCGTGTCTGAGGAGGGTGGGTGTGCTCGCCTGGGCGCGTGTCTGAGGAGCGTGGGTGTGCTTGTGTGGGCGCGTGTCTGAGGAGCGTGGGTGTGCTTGCGTGAGCACACAAGACCCTCATGTCTAAGAGAACCTGCTCGCTTATTAAGCTTTTTACTGAACGTTTTTGTTTCATTAAGTAAGAGATCAGTGTGCTTAACACCATTATTTTATTCTTTAATATATTCGAAATAAATCCATCGCCTAAATACTGACACAGTAGTCGTTTTGTCATAGAAGGGAAATTTTTTATTGTCAGACTTCTGTTTTTTCCTACTTTTATTACTAAGTCAGCCATCAGGGAAGACTGGTACATAGAGCAGAACATAGTGACTTGAGAGGCTTGTTAAAATGCCCAATTTATTCTTCAGAAAAGTGATTCTTAATGCTTTCACAGTGCAGAGAGTACCCATGTTGCTTTTGCTGTCTTTCAGTAACTGAAAGTTAATATTGGTGTTCAAAAAGTTTGCTTTTCTGAGTGTGTGAACGGGAGTGTCAGTAGTTTTAGCACATTGTCTCCAGGCACACTAATGTCTGAATGTGGCCGTCTGACCAAAAGGGGGGTTGTTGTGGAGCAGCCTTGGCCAGGAGCAGCCCACACCAGAGGGAGCTTTGGGGAAGGGTCCTCCTTGTCACCCCAACCAGAGTGTCCCCTTTCCAAATGAAGAACACGTTCCAGTTTTAATGCTGGCACACATGGTAGGTGGCTTGGGAAGATCTCAGTTTCTTTGGGTCTTAGCTTTCTCAGGTATCAACTTCAGGTTGGGAACCAGGCCTCTCTGCAGTCCTTTCAGGGCTAGGATTCTAACAGCCACTTTAAGACGATGGGCCCCCTTGTCCCTAGATGGCCATACCTTTCCTTACATTTCCCGAACTGTCACCCTGGGTGTGGTTGTGGAGATTTTGGGCTCTCTTGCAGCCTTAGCAGCTACTGTCTGTGTGTGTGTGTCCCTGTGCAGGTTGACGTCTAGCCCAGTAGCCTCACCGGGAGCAGGTGGCCAGACATGCTGGCTGAGGCTAATGCACCAGTAGTCAGGAGAGCGTTTGCACACGTGAGGCCAAGAGGATCCCAGTATATGGGCACCTGTGTTCGAAAGGAGACTTTTAGGCTCACCACTGTGGCTTCATTACACAGGGAGTGCATTTGACTTTGTACATGGTTCTGTAAATTTTTTCTTTTAATTTGAAATATGCAATTTTTTAAAATATTTATCCCAACCCCAACAAAATAACTTTTTTGAGATTAAGTTATACACTTTAAAACACTATAAGAAATTCTCAGGGAAAGTTGTTAACTCT